CTTTTCATAATTTAGGATTAATATTGTATCACTTTACACAAAACATAGAACAGCACATTTTGTGTAAGGTGATGTGCTCGTATATTCAATTTAAACCTATTGTGAACTCACGCAAATAATGTTATAAACCTTGCTTTAATAGCCATATGGGTTCTCAAGTAAATAAATTGAAAATAGTGCTTTATACTTAGTCATGTGTCTATCTTATCTGGAGTGTCATCCAACTGCTGCCATCAATGTGACTGCTCTTGTGTTAAAGATGCAAAACTTTCAAGTGGCTTTGTGCATTGAATATCTGATTTCATTTCCCAGAGTTTCCCCTCCCCTTCCAATACCCACATAGTTGGTCCTTTCCAAAAATTTTTCCTATGATTTGTATTTGTTTTCCTTGGAAGATACTGATTTGTTGGAAACTAATCCTTCACTGTTGAAGCAGGAATAAAACACTGATTTTACAAATTTACTTCTGGATGCTTTATACAGCCTCACTCTAAAAGCATGTGGAACTGTTTTAATGTGATATTTTAAAAATGACTCATTTTTGTTGCTACACACTTCTAAGCTCATTTAAGTACATACGATAGAGGCAAATGTTATAGAAAAATGAAGTGTTTACCTACTTCAGCTACCTTTTTAGTATTGGATGATTTTCAAATAATTTTGTCAAAGGTGTATTATAAGTAGCTCTATGATAAAGAAAATAAATTTAAGACATTCTGACTTAGTTTCATGTCCACCTCTCTTGAAATAATTTTTAACAATGTAAAAAATAAAATAAAATCCTACTTAACCAGTAGATAGATATTTAGTATCCATTTACTATCTCATATCCTGATTTATCTTTAACAATAGTGAAAGGGAAATAAGTAACTATTAGGGAAATCTCTATCTTTTCCTACTAGAGAAAGTACTGTACTATAACTTAAAAATGAGACAAATTTAACTTTGAGTATATAAAAATAATAGGATAAATGTATAAAATAGTAAAGAAGAAGACATTTGTGAAGCATTCCAGATTATTAGACTAGAGAAAAAATCAACATAGTACTCTTCATTGATAAAAAAATTCCAAAAATCCCACACTTACTCATCAAAAAATATAGAGGTTTAGCACAAATAGAAAATAGTAGCAACATATATATTGGAAGGCAAGAGAAAAATTATCCTTACTTGAAATAGCATATCTCCATATGAAAACTTGGAATAGAAAAATGAGATAAATTAATATAGAAGAGCAGTCATTTGGTCTAAATGAAAAGTCATGCTCCACAGAGGAATATGTCAATATGCATTTTTAGCTGTATATATTATAATCATGTTTTCAGAAGTGGTTTTGTCAAAGTAACTTCCCCATTGCAGCAGCTTTTGAGATTTCTTCAACAGTTTTGTGCAGAAATGGCAATGTAGATCAGTGAGAAAAGTATGGCTTATTATGGAAATTCAGTTGTAAAAGTTGACTTTATTAAGGGGACAAAATCAAAATGGATGCTTGTTTCTAATTACAAACAAAAGAAAATGAAACAAAATAAAGATAATATCCACACAAAGACAATTATCTTTTAGAGGAAAGTTTTATCATCTCTGGGTTAAATAGGATTCCTTAATTAGAATGTTGAAAATTGAAGGCACAAATCTGAAGGTTAGCAAATTTGACTACATAAAAAGTAAAACCACTGTTTCAATGTAAGTTTACATTGGTGAGAAACTATAATAGATAAATTGAAGTACATTAATTTGAATGGGAAAAATACATCAGTTAAGATAAATATACTGGATTTATGTATATACCATCAGTAGAATTATGAAACATAATATTGAGTAAACTATTGTGCTATATTTATATGAACATTTTGATGTTGTTTATTTATTTCACATGTAAATCTAAGGTCACTGCAGGTGAGAAGGATTCATCAACTTAAGGTGAAGGCTGACTTTGGAAATGAGATCAATAAGAATAAGTAGGGTTGACCACCTACTTGCAATGTTTTATTTGTTTCAGAATAAATGTGTTGGCAGATGCCTATGCTCTCAGCTACTATAGAGACAGAGTCGGGAGGATTACAAATCTGTGGCCAGCTGCGACAACTCAACAAAGTAAAATGTTAAAAAGCTGTGTGTGTACCTCTGGCCGAGTGTTTGCCTAGTATGCACAAGCCCTTGGGTTCAGTCCTCGCCACTGAAAAAATAACAGCAACAAGTAAATCAGAAAAAATTATGACAGCAAACATACTAACAAGTCTTACTGCTTGGGGGTGGGAAGCTTAGGTACTTTTAAAACACAGTTTCTGCATTTTCTCTAATTGTACAATATTTGGTAATATAAAAATCTATGGAATAAAGCATATGCTAAAATCTTATTTGGGGTGAAAATAATTTGAATACACAAAAAATTAGTAATAGATGCATGTAAATTTATGTGTATTCAAAATACCTTTGTGTTAATGAATAAAGTACAGCAATGTATTAAAAGATTCTTATTTTTTTATTTTAAAGAGAGTAGTAAATGAGAAACAAATAAACAAAGAAATAGGACAGTAGCAGCATACCATTATCACAAACATAAACAAATCAAAGCAAGAACATTCAAAGTGATACAGGGTCTCAAGACAAAATAATACGAATCAACAGTAGTTGTTACATTACATATCGCTGTCCTCAACTACATTGCTCAGATTACCTGATGTAAGAATGAAAGATTGCTCAAATCATTATAGGGAATAAGAAAATAATTCTTCGATTAAAAAAAAGGTTCTTATACCTCAAAAGACTGTTATACCTCAGTAAAGGAAGGATTTCTCCTAGGAATATAAGCTTGCTTCCATATTATGATATAAAAACACCATGATATAATATATGGTATTAAATACACATTGATAATGTCTCAAAAAAGGAAGGAAAAAGAATAGTTAACTAGCCATCATCCATTGTGGATTTTAAAACTAAGAAAGGAGAATAGAGGGGAAGGGAATCAGATGCAAAAAGCATTAAGATATGTTATGCACATGTAACAACACCACAAATGAATGTAATAATTATCTGCTGCAAACATGTATGAATAAAGAATAATTGTTTAAAACAAATAAGTGCTTGTTAGAATTTATGGGAATATTGTGGTATTAAAAATGTTTTCTTTACATTTGGGACAGATAAAATTATATTTAAAATATTTAAAAGAGATCAAGTAATAAAACAAAAACCTCTGTAAATTTTATATTAAAATGGTTTGTATCTGTATCCTTAATGTGATTTGACTTATATGCTTTAAACTGAGAGCCAAGTTTTCAGTAAAATCAAGAATTAGACAATAATATCCCTCTCAACAGTATTTATATTGTTTTACAGAAGTAGTGAAATTAAGCAAGGAAAAAAAGTTACAAATATAAGGGAAGAAAAAAACAGGAGATCCTTTATTGATAGTTTCTATTCCTGTGTTATTATAACCCCCCAAAATGGAATAAAAAAGCTATCTGAAACAACGGGAACATTCAGTATGTTGGCAAATCTAAAATACTATTATATTCAAATTATTAACTCTTGTATAGAAATCATGGCCAGTTTTAAAATATAATGCCAGAAATCATTTAAAACAACTAAAATAAGTAAGGAATATATAATTGTTAAAGAAAAATTTTACATATTAAGAAATTCTTCCAACAATAAAATAATTTTACCTTTGGAAAGATTGATTCAGTAGTTAAGATGCAATAGTTTTCCCCAAGTTAACAGGTTATAATAGTGAGTTTTTCTTACTAGCTAGTAACAGAGTTGATAACTACAAACTAGTTCATGTCCCAGAACTACTTATGAGTCTAAAAAGAAAGTGACATTCAAATTTTGATAAAATTTACCCAAAACTTCATTCCTGCTTCATACTATATTCACCAGAAATTCTGACTTCATTTATCTTAGTGTTTTCATTGCAGATTGGGCTTTCTGTGTGTTCCTGCCTCTATCAAGCACTGTAGCACAGACACATACATTGAAAGCCAGAGGACTCACTTGTCCTTTTAACATATGGGAGACATATTTCAGAGGTTGGCAGAGATTGGGTGGATGAGTGCACTTTTTGATGTAGACAGTGCTAGCCAATCATTTTTCTGTGGTCATACAGCTTCAAAATTGACATATTTTAAGATTTGTAAAGAGCTTTCAAAATATGAAATTTTTATCTGTAATATGTGAGTTTTTAGTTTAGCATCCAATTTAGAACCCAACCATTTTCTTTGAGGCAGGAGATTAGGGTGTGGCTAGCTGGCTGAACAGGTTGACATAACCTGCCAGTCCGGGAGATGCAGGACACATGTCCAGGAAAAACAGTTCCCAAGGGCTGCATTTGGAACCAATCAGAAGATGCTATCTTCAGGTCTTCTGCAACAAGATCAAGGTTTTTGATAGACCCAGTGACATCAGCCTGAGAAATGATAGATACAAAAGACATCTGTCTTTAACCTCATGGTCACTGTCTTCTCTTATTCAGTGGTCCACTCTCACTCTACATAAAGTGCTTCTTTTCCTACGTTTAATAAATTTAAAAATTTATAACTTGTACTTGTCCAAGTCTTTGTCCAGGACAATGGGAACCTGGAAAGAACCTGTAGAAGTAGCCTACAACACTCCGGTACCACAGTTAACACCTCCAGTTCAGGAAAATCTGGCTGTTGACATAATTTGACCTGTGATTTGCATTTTTGTGACCTTGGATTTTTCTAAAACTGCTTTCCCTGAAATTTGACCCACTAAAATCCGGGCCCCAAACCTTGACTAGTGTTGGTAGGGAAATGAGGTTTCAAGTTATGAGGTACTGTATTCATCTGTTTTGCTGGACAACTGGCTAAATCACTCAGTGTTTCTGTAATTTTCTAGACCAGTTCTAGACCTGAGTTAATGTGTGTATGTGTGTGTGTCTAGATTTAATCTCCTTAAGTCAGTGAATAGGAATATAAGATCCATCCGGACTGTTCCGTGAAACATTCATAAGATCTGATTTGTCTTCCAATCAGGTATTTTTGGTCACTGTCTGGAATTTTGAACTCTACATGATCCCCCTGGCACTGTTGCTACTGTTTTTCTACAATTTCATCAGGCCCATGAAAGGGAAGGTCAGTAGCATCCAGGACAGACAGGTAAGCAAGTGCTTAAATTGTTCTGGCATTTGACCAGGGGAAATGTATTAACAACAACTATAAATAACTACTGCACCACCAAATCATGCTCCATCTCTATTTTGTCTGAGATGTGGATGTAGCCCTGCACACAACCATTTTGAAGCAGAGTTCTTTTATTAGAAATAGGGAGGCTTCCTTCATGATATCGTGTATTTCTGAATGTCAGCCTCTGCTCTGGGCAGGAGAAATGCCCTTTGCTTTTGGACCATTGTTTCCATGATGATACTTGTCTAAGCACCTGATTCTCGGTGAGGTTCCAGAAAGAAACCACCTCAAACACTATAGGAAACGTGTGGTGGCTCCCGACTCTCTTCCAGGGGATGCAGAAAATTCTGGAGAGCTGGCTCAGGCTTTTCCACAAGGGTATCCCACACCGTTTTCCTCTGGCCTGAAGGCTTGGGAGAATGTCTGAGGCCTGCCAATGTGAGGGCAATCAAGAGGTGGGTAAACACAGAGGCCTCTTTTCTCAGGTGTTGACATTTGTTTTGGGATTCTTAAGTCCTTGTTCTGTGGAAGCACAAGCAGGGCCCCTTCCCAGCCATCCCTCAGCACCCTTCTCTTGGTTTCTCTGCTGCTCTCCTGCTCCATTTCCATCAGCCCAGTCCAGAGGATGGTTTTCTGCTCTTAGTGAGCAGAAATTTGTACTTACAGATTAGCTTTAAGATGAAATTTTGGCATTCCTGATTCTACAGCAAGGTTTTCCAAGACTTAAATGCTAACCATGGTCATGTTTTTTTTATATTCTTATTTAAAAATTCATCTCTGAAGTAGTTGACATTTAAGGAGTTCTTCTGATTTCATTTATGATGGAGAGAAGGTGAGAAAAACAGCTGTTGTGGCGGGGGAACAAGTTGAGTCATTTTCAAAATTCTATTGTTTGATTTTGACTATTTAATAAAATAGGTGAGGATTTATGTTCCTCAGATAATAGAACAAACTGATAAATGGGTTTAAAGTGTAGATCTTTTTAAGGACCAGGCTTCATCAGTTTAATTGAGAGGCATTTGGATAAAGAAATGTCCTTAATAAAAAATGCTATGACCTAATATTTTTGCAGAATTCACCAGATTGTATGTTGCCCACTATGAATATGATGTCTATTTATAGAGTGTGTATATGTGCATGTGTGTATATATGTGCATGTGTGTATGTTTATGTATGTTTGTGCATATGAATATACAGTTGGTCATTTGTACATAAATATCCTCATATGTCTACGATTTAAATGTTATGTAAAGTCTTTAAACTTATGAAACATACTCAAACTTATCCGTTAGTTTGATTTTGATGACACAACCATGACAAAAGAGCTATCATTTTCATTTTATGCTTCAAGAAACTAAATTTCAGAGTGGTAAAGTCATTTGCCTACAGTTACAAGGTGAAAACATTGGACCCCTGTCTCCAAGTGGAGACTTTTAACTTTCCTATTTGTGTTTTCTCCCATAATCTTTATTTTATCACATTCCTATTTATCTATTGTCTTTCATGAGCCATGTGTGCTGCCAATGGAGAATAGGTTAGTTTCCCAGGGTTCACTTGGTGTCACCCAAACAGCTAGCTGAAGCCCAAGAGGATTCTGGAAGTTAAGGCTATATCAAGCCTGGGAAAGTTTCTGAATAACTGCCGAACAGTTTGATGGAGTGTAGCACAGAACACCAGATCATCAAAGTTAATTACTTTTAAGAGCATAATATTGATACAATTTTTAACTGTTGGAGTAATAGTAAGCAGCCTGGCAGCCTTTTGCAAGGTTAAGTGTTCAAAATGAGCCCTGGTTTGCTAATATTGAGCGTTTCTTTATTTTTTCTTTTTTGCTACTGGACTCATTCAATTTTATACCAACTTATGTGTGCTTTTAAACAAGGCTTTGGTAGGATTAAATACTTGACTATTAAATATAGCTGCTAAACTGATTTGAGCCAGTCAGTTGGCAGTGTAGGTGCTGCTATGCTAGTGAGCTAAATCCAGGCACCTGCAAGTCCCTGTTAGAGTGCTCGACTTCCTTCCTATACCTTCTCCTCCTGCCCTTGGAGCCACAGAAAACAAAGATCCCACATAGAAACCTGCAACTTATCCTTAAGATGGATTGTGTTCAGATGAATGCATTTTGTACTGTCTAATGTTGCAGTAATGGCCCCAAAGGGAAAGAGCTGTCATTACAACCACGAGCCCAGCACAAATGGAGTATGGTATTCTCAGACTTAACGTAGCAGTTGGTTCATTTGTCAGAACAAGAACAAAACTGTTTACAGAAAGCATAAGTCTGCAAGGCATTTTTGAGGCGGGATGCCTTCAAAGGGCACTTGCCTAATGGCTTTATTTATAGGTAACAGTTTTATGTAGACTGTGCACATTGTTTATAGTTTTGCAACAGTGTCCCTGAACTTTAAACTCGTTTTCAAGAGGTTATGATGTGTTGTAGAAATAGTAATGCTTCAACTCTGTAGAAAAAATTACAAATGCCTATATGTTTTGTTTGCATTGAGTAATTCCAGTTCATGCTTTATTAATAAACCATGGGGTTTCTTTGCAGGAGAGCACAGACATCGAAGAGGAGGATGATGAGGATGACAAGGTGAGTGTATGGCTCAAGAGCCCAAGAGGACACTGATGTTGGTAGCAGATTGTGCTCTCTTAAATTCCATCTTATTTTTAGTGTTATAGATTGAACAGTAATAATGTAACTTTTAAAAACCAATATCATGTGCATAGCTAATTGGAACAGCTCTGACACAGTTTTCACTTTATGCAAACATAATACTAGTAGCCATCACCTTTCCTATCTTACAAAGATTTTTTTAATCAATTGACAAGTCATAATTGAACATCTTTCTGAGGATCGGGTGATGCTTGAGCCCATCCTAAGATTTTTAAGCTGAGACTGAAAAGAAGGTAAAACATAAGGAACAACTGAAATGGTCTAAAGAGCATACCAGTAGGAAGCCGCAACTTGGAGAGAAGCCAAGATGAGCCTTCGCCTTTGTAGATAAAAAGGAGCCTGGGAAGTCAAAAGTAAATCAAGTGAAATTGCTGCTCCTTTAGGTTCATGTCTGTGCTCTGTGGGGTGGTCACCCACTTCCGAGCCTGTCACTTCCCCAGCTGTTGCTGGCAGCGTTTTCAGCTATATGTCTGTGTACATCTGTCCTCTTCCTTCTCCTGGGAGAATCTCTCAAATCTGCTGCTTTTGTTGTCATTACACTTTCAGACAAACCTTCTGGAATTAAATGAATAAAGAGAGGTGCCAAGTGAGCTGCTTCTAGCTTAATAGACTTCCAGTTCCCTAAAACCTGTGGGTAGATGGAGCTGGTGGCAGTATCATACAGCAGGCTTGTGGGAGAGCAAAGGGCAAAGGGGAGAACCTTATGACAAAGTATGCAATATAAATGCCCATAGAATAGAAATTAAATTGCAGGCCCTAGCTCCATAACACAGAGAGCCCTAAAATTAATTGAGTGGACCAGATGGTTTTAGCCATTTGAAGCAAATGGGATGGATTATAAGTAAATCTTATTTGTTGTGCTAAGATGATCATTAATAGCAGAATAATGAAGTATAGTATTTTTAAGAGGGTCCACAGCCATTACAGAAGACAGGACATGAAGAAGCACCTTTCTTCTTGATTCTCTGATGTGGTTTCTGGGTGTTCAGCTTGTTGAATACTAGTAGTCATCACTGAACTATAGTGCATGATGAGATGTTTTATGGAAGAAAGTTAAAAAGACGTTGTTTTAAACCCACATGAGGTTCCACATGAGGTTCCATGTGTATGTCTAGGCTTCCTGTTCTTCCCACTTACCAGCTCTTTCTGCTTGGGTTCAACAATTTGCAAGAATTCCTTACTTACACTTACTGGTTTACTAGAAATGTACAGCTCAGGAACAGCCAAGTGGAAGAGATGCACAGGGAAGGTTGGGTCAGTGGCAGGGAGCTTCCATGGTCCCTCTCAGCTCAGAAACCATCCAGCACATATTCACCAATGCAGAACCCTTGTGAACAGTGTTTTACTTTTTATAGTTGTTTTAACAGAGGCTTCACTAAGCAGGCCCAGTTAATCAAATCCCTGTCTTGTCTCTACCACATTTCTGGAAGTTAGGGGGCTTGCATACACTGTGCCTACAAGTTTCAACCCTCTCGTCAGATTCTCCTGACCGTCAGCCCTGCCCCTCCCCCAGTGCTTTCCAAAGTTCCCCCATAATATTAACTCAGGTGTGATGAAAAGGGGATGAATAGCAAAAGTTTCTCCTTTTACCTTTTCAGATCTTGAGCTATTTCAAAACTTGGGACAAAACCAAATATAACAAAACTACTCCTACCACTCTTCTCACTTAGGAAATTTCAAGAATTTCAGAAGCTCTGGCCAGGAGCCAGGGACAAGGACCAAATATATGTTTCTTATTATATAACATTATCACACTAGGCAAAATTCTACATTTTTATGAACCAAAGCTCAGTAATGAAGAAGAAGCATTTTTGTTTGGCCAAGGCTGTTTAAATGAGCCATCCAAGAAAGAGAACCCCATCCGCCCTTTAGGGATAATGGTGAGCACATGTTGTGGACCTGTCTGATGTAGGAAGTATCCAATAAGAAGGCAGTAGATGGAAGTATCCAATAAGAAGGCAGTACATGAAAGTATGGTGTTCAGCAACTGGCAAGCAAGAAATTAGGCCATCCATCGAGGTCAGTGGTTGTCATGATCTTGTCTTCCACAGAGCAGAGTGAGGTTCTGGAGATGGAGCTCCTTGGGCTGTGCTTAAGTTTTCCTGGGCAAGGCTGAGTGAGGGAAGTGGCAGAATGGCTCAGCCTCCAGGGATGAGCTTGCAAGTCATTGCCTTTTACCTTAGCGTGGCCCTACACAACTTCCCCATATGGAGAAGGTCAGCAAAAGACTATTCTTCTCTCCAACCAGGGGAAGTCCACTCTTGAGATATTTTTGTTGTATTTTAAAAGGGCCTCTTAAGAGCCAAAGCATAATCATGGTTGTTTTTTCCTTTGGTTTCATGTTTCCATAAAATCTTATAAAGGAGTAAATCTGAAATAAAAATTTCACTTCTGTTTATGCCTCTTCTGCTGAACACACGCTTGCATGGGTAGGAGAGTCTGGCAAAGATTTTGGTTCACCTTCATCATTTCAGTCTCCCTTATCATGAGGATCTGTTAAACTAGAGGGATATTCAACTTCAAGAATTCTGGAGTGCATCCCTTCATATGTAGGATTATTTTTCATTTCTTATTCATGTGTAGCAGCCTCCACCTCTGTGATGTGCTTGTCCCAACATGCACACACAGTGACTGGTGGGCTCCCCACCGCAGTGACCTGTCTGAAAGTTCTTCCCCTGAGCCCTTCTGGCTTCGCTGTGTGTTAGGCATGACAGACCATGCTTCTGGGAACTGTAAAACACCCAGGCCAAGAGGAACCGTTTACAAATTATAAACACACAGGCATTTTGTGCAAAACCAGAAGAGGACAGAAACTCCTTTCTAGCCAAGCTATCCATCTTGAAAGTGACACTCCTAATTGCCAGCACCACTTCCCACCAGATACCATCAGGCGTGGCTGTGGGAGATGAAAGGCTGCCTGGGCCCCTTGGCCCAAGCCCGGCCGGAGATGAATGCACCCCCATCTTCTGTCTGTCTCCAGTGCACAGACCAGGACGAGCTCTGGGGTCTGTCACATCTTTATTGTCTAGAATACTGCTTGTAGCAGTGTGACATCACCACAGTCAGTGTTTCTTCTCATTGTTAAAAGCCCATGGTGGTAATGGGTATTGGAATCTAGGTTGGAGGCCACCATTTTGCCTTCTTTTGTGGTCTTTCAATGATAGCACAGAAGTTGCAGGTAACTAGTTCTTTCGGCTTTCAGGAAGCGAAGTAGACAGGCTAAACTTTAAAGAGAGGAAATCTTCCTTTCTTATCCTGATGACCCATGTAAGAAATTGCTTGTTACAAGTATAGTTTGCGAGGGACCCCAGAACAAACAGATAATGGTTAAGTTCAGCCAACAGCAATCCGTTGACATTTCCTGTTTGTATTAGATTCCATATGTGACATCCTTCTGTGTGGACCTTATTTGTACGGATGGATTACAATGAAAATTGCATTAATTTTCTACACAGTAAAGGTCAGTAATTGAAGCATCAACCAAGAAACTATTGTGTAAAATGCTGTATCCCATACTTAGGAAAGGTCATGCAAGACAATAATATCTTGTTTTCATTGCTGAAGGTATAAATACTTGCATTAAAATTTCTTTCTTTTTCCAGCCCAACAATCACTTACATAGAATATTTCAGCATTTACTATTAACATCAGGAAGAAAGAAACATAAGGGAATGTAATAAAAGGAAAAAAGTGCTTTGCTTTTAGCTATGAGTAAGAGACTAGTTGGATGTTGCATCAAGGGTCAGCTGGTTTATAACTTCGCACCCAGAAATAGAACTGGAAATGATCTGCCCTTTTAGGGTCACCAAAGTGGTCTCAATTTCCTGACAGTTTGTAGAAAAAAGAAAATATCCACCTATGTCAGTTGCGTACAAAAGCATATATGGATATGTTCCTTTAGGAAATCAAGATAAGCCTAATACATATTTGTTGATTGAGGGATGTTTTATACTGAAAAGATGAAAGGAATATTAGATCTACTTCCTATTTTCACAATTTAGAAAACCATCATTGAAATTTAAGCAGATTTTGAAATATCAGTTTCAGTGTTTAAAATGACTTTTCAACCTCTAAACTCAGGAGTATCTCCTCATTGGTCAGAGTCCTTGGAGTAAGAGAAGCAGAGTGCGTGTGTGTGTGTGTGTGTGTGTGTGTGTGTGTGTGTGTATTTTGAAAGAATTCTCTCTGACTGAACTGGCAGAGGCCTTTGGCTCAGTCACTATATGTCCTTGCTTCACAGAGAGAGATCATTTCTTACCCTAACGCAAAAAGACCATTGTTTATGGCATATGAATTACAACCTTCCAGTGAGAGTAGTTTTGCTTATTATTCCTTTGGGCCACCATAAAAATTCCCCAAATTCAGTGAATTGGTTTGATCAGTGATTTTTGTTAATTATTGCATTAACAGTATTGCTTAAAGATGATAAGTATGATACTTTTCTGGAAATCAAAAGCTAGAGTGTATTTGTGAATGCTTAACGGTATCTGTGTGTATACCCAGGCATATACACCATTTGTGGGTATGTACAACCTTTATGCAGGGCATACTGCAGGAGATCTGCTTTTGGATAATATGCAGGGGAATAAAGTAAATGTTCATTCTCATTCAAGTCTCTTTAATTTGATTTGATTTAATGTAGTTTTTAGAGATGATGTACTTTAAATGCTAACATCTCTACCATATCATCTTACTTTTAAGATTTTAGTAGTAAAATGGATCTGAGCCAATTCATAATTATCAGTGTATGTAAGTTTTAAAAGAGAAGAGTACCTTTCTGAGTTTTTATGGTTCTTTAGCACATCAATGTGGTCTCAGTTCTTTGTTAGAAATCAAACATCCATTCTTAAGAGGGTTTTAATTTTGTTTCCTTAAGAACAAAAGTAATCTAAATGTTATTAACTTGGCCTCTTGGA